GAGAGAGAGAGGTGGGGGGAGGGGACAGACAGACAGACAGACAGACAGACAGACAGACAGACAGACAGACAGACAGACAGACAGACAGAAAGACAGACAGACAAAATGTTCGAGAGTGGGAAAATCAGGGAAAGAGTGAAATAGAGAGACGTGAGACCGGAAAAGAGAAGTTCGATTTTACTTTACCGTTTGCTGTAGGTAATAAACGCTCCTTTCAGCATTTCAACACCAATATAAAAATGCCTTAAAGGTTGGTTTAAAACTCTAGCCACTGAGAGTGTAAGCTCTGGGGAAAATCAATCGTCATGGGATGATTTTTTTTTTTGGGGGGGGGGGGTGTGAGTAAAATCCTAGGGAAATTCTGTCCACAAATTCGTGACTCATCGGTGATAGAAGGCAAAGGCGTTGTTGTGCATTCTTTATTGAAGGAGCCGATTAAAGCGATACCACTCATTTAATCCTCAATTTTTTTTAAAAAGTATTTATCTTATTACTTTTGTCTTTTCTTTCTTTGTTTTTTGTTGGGTTTTTTTGGGTTTTTTGTTTGTTTGTTTTTTGTTGTTTTTTGTTTTTTGCTGATGGTACATTCTCAACTGGATAAAAAGAGATTTTGCTGAACATTTGAAGAAAAAAAAACCAACAGCATCTGTGGAGTTATGTAATGCTGAAAATGCGTTTATTTCAATTCCCTCGGGGGTCTCTGTCATTGTGCCGAGATTTCCAAATTTAACGTCCGTCTCCGATAACCGACGTTATATCGATGTGTTTCACTTTTTTTCAAACTCAAGACCTGTACAGCACTACATGGCTGACAATGGCCTACCCTATCCCTATCCCCCCCCCCCCCTTATGATCTAAATTATGTCGATACGTACGTAAAACATAAATATTCGTATTTTTTGGCTATCCTGGAAAGAAAACATTTGTCCTTAAAACGCCGAAAAGCAGAAAATCATGTCTGGTGAAAGATCGCTCACCTCGTACTTGGCGGAAAGCACGGTTGGCCTACGTGAACGTCGGCTCCTATGCACGACGGTATCTGTGCCGTTTATGACCTGATCGTTAAACCACCTGGACTATAAGCCACATCGAGCCGCACCCAGCAGCTTCTCACCTTGCTGTGCATAGCGAGCTTTCCAAACAGTGCCTCGGTTGACTGATGGCAGAACGAGGGCCCCTGAGTCAAAAGGTTACGTCTTCAATAACAGTTTTTGTAGATAGAACTCTTTGGCTCGGGACTTACGGGAGACGTTATGTTGCTCAGCATGACGTGTGCCAAATGCGAAATAAAGCTAGGGAATGTGTTGTATGCCTTTTGCTTTTGGGACATGTTCTGAACACGTACTAGTAAATGTTAAATCATAATATCTTCTGGTGACAAAACATTCATTTATGAGTGTGATGACATTTCAAAAAGCTCTGGAAGAGTATTTCTCCGCATGTCTCCAACGAATACTTTGGGTCGTCTATGAAAAACTGAGCATTTCATAAAACAAACAATCAATGTTGTCATTCAGTTTGTTTTGGCTGTTCTCTGTAGTGGATTTAAATAATGGGGTTGAAGCAAGCCATAAACATGCCTTTCCCCCGTCAAATTGTCAATTCCTGGAAAAAAAACCCAACGAATTCCTCAAATTGTTAAATCAATCATGGGCAGGTCTTTAAAACACGTGAAGTATATTTGTGTAAGTAATGCAGTTTTTGTGCAAACATAAATTCCTTTTCCTTCTGTTCGACTGAGGAGGCTATTCTTTCTTAGAATTATGATAACTTGTTAGCTAGAATCTAGTTGTTGGGTTGTTGTTTTTTATTTCAAGTCTTGATTTTTTTTTCTGGGGGGGATTGGAAATATGAGGCTTAACAGCACACATGTACTGAGATGGTGTTGCGATGTACAAGATTCACCAGGGTATTCTTTTATAGCTTTAATTGTTCTCACGATACACTTTGTGTGAGTTCTGTCTGTAGTCCTGAACTGTGCTGAAATAGACGAACAAAAAATATTTTTAAAAGACCTCAAATGGCCGACAGGTTCATCCTAATCTTCATTTCCAGTTGCGCAGTTAATTCCTGTGGAGAAACCCAGCATAATCCTTTAGGAGTTCAAAGTCTTATCATTGTCATATAACATCCTTCCTTGCTGTCTCTGAAGTATCTGTTTACACGAGGGTAAACTTGGAATATGAATGTGATGTATATTTGCCGGGTGGACTACAGTGTCCTACCCTGCAGAGCAGAGCAATGGAATAAAACTCATGGATTTTGAAAGAGTAGTGTTGCGAGTCTCGTTTCATAAAGTACCTGGCTGGGTCCGCATAAAGACAAATTTGCGGACGTGCAACAGGAACAAAAGTGAGTCCAGCGTCTTAACAAGGTCACTGTTTCAATATTTTTGACACAGGATCCGTTTTTCTCTCCCCTTTCAGGTGTATCAGACGATAGAGAAGAACGAGATGCGCTTGGAGGATCAGGACAGACGTGACGCCATCAAGAACGAGTG